AAAATCCCACAAAGTCGCGTAGTACATGCAGTGATGGATCTTTACTAAGTATGGGAAGTTCTGAAATGGATGAGGTGAGTTCCAGAAGAACTGAAGTTGGTAATTCCATTTGGTATGACGTTACTGTTGAGGGCCAATCAGGTCTTGGTGTGTGATTGTTCACACTTCTTTTAAATATCTTTAAATATGTTTGAGTTTGGCTTGTTGATGCATGAGTAGTCAGTACTGCCTAAATGTTTGTGATGAACGTCTCTAGACGTGGACTTCCGCGACTTGCGGCAATAATAATATAATGTGGAAAGAAAGTTAATATTTTAAACTTGTCGTCGTTAGAATTGCTAATGCCTCGGCAAATCCCGTCTGCAAAGATCTGCAAGTATTCTTGCTTGACGTAGAGGGCAGTTGTGGCTTTCAGTCTGTTTATTTATTGTTCCAAATTACTTATTTATGCCTTTTCTTTGTTCACTGGAAGTATTATAATGAATTATGTTATCGAAGTGATTATGTCTCTTTGTTTATTTAGGATTCTTTGGGTCAACACTCAGGCCATTCTTCAAAACAGTCCTTGCATGACAAGAAAACATTTCATGACAGCGGTGAGTTTACGTAAATATTTTACCTGCTCTTATAGTAGGATAAAGATCCACCTACTTAGGATGATAGATATTTTGGTCCTAACTTAAATAGAAAGATGGTTCTTCTTCTATGGCTCTCCAGCTCTCCGGTCCATATTCGGACCATGGCCTCCTCAATTCTCCTCTCCTGTTAGGTCCGTCTGTCCGAGGCTTTGATCGAGGTTTCGAAACGTCTTCCTTTTTAAGGTGCAAGGTTGTTAGCCTTGCGACCAACCCCCAACCTGGAGGACCAGGGTACCTGTCTTAGTCTGACCTCTCCCCCTCGATCAATCTGGCTAGGGAGGCCCTACCAGTAGCTACGCTACCGCCAGCATAGATACAGTAAATGCATTTAATTGAATTACTTTGATGTACGACTAACAGCTAGATCATTTTACTTCTAAAAGATGTAACAATCCATGCTGCAGAACTTGGTAACTGTAGAGTAAAATATGAATTTATGATTTTTGCAGATCTGGAATTTGATTTAGGAGTTTCAGCAATTCCATTAAGTCACAGTGCAGCAAGGCATAAGATGGCTGTAAGACCAAAACGAACCCACGGTGCACCGCGCAGGCGACGGATCCAGCAAGTGAGTGAGAACCACTGGTAGTCAAGCGTATGCGTTGTTGTCGGTGAAGTTTTGGAAATGTTCTCTGTTTTATCCCTGATGTTTCATTTAAGGAAATATTGATGTTATTTAGTTTGGTAATGTAACAAAAGTCAAGCACTTGAAATTCTCTAAGTCTCAAACCAGAAGTGATGTTAAAGTACAGTTGGTGTTATAAGTCATCTGCAATCTCCTTGTAGTTTGCTCTATGCTATTTTCTTCTGCTTTCCATTAATTGTTATTTATGCCAGATATCTGTTCACCAAAGATACCAATGAATCTGCGTGATTTGAAGAAAAACTTGAATTAATGTCAATAAATTTTCTGTGATTTCCTGGCCAAAATATTAGGTGTTGGCACTCCACTGTTTTCTTTAATGCAGAGTTGTATGTGTTTTCAGCTTACTTTGCTGTTAGTTCATAAGTTATATTATAGTTTGGTTGATAGCATGTTTGCCAATGTCTTTAATAACTTAGGAGGCCGTAAAATTCCATTTATTTTTTTCACATGTGAGAACAAGAGAACTGCAGTTAGTTTCTTATTAAGATGTTAAAAATAAAGGAACCCCCCCCCCCCCCCCTTCCCTGATGTTTCATTTAAGGAAATATTGATGTTATTTAGTTTGGTAATGTAACAAAAGTCAAGCACTTGAAATTCTCTAAGTCTCAAACCAGAAGTGATGTTAAAGTACAGTTGGTGTTATAAACGAAAAATCAGGTGAAGACTTGTGCCATGTAAACTAGCAGTAAAGACAGTGCAACTTTTCAAGAAACTGTCTCAAAACAGACGTTTAACAGTAATGCTGAATCACAACCGTAATTCTCGAATGTGAATAAACGAAGAAAGAAAATAAATAAATGCCAAGATTTAAGAAATGAATTAAATTTTACAGCTTCATATGATGGTCAACAGAATCACCTGAGTGGGATTAAATTTTAAGTATTGATTTTTGTTGCATAGAGTGTACCTGTTCAATATTGGCTAAAAGCCAACCTGGTAAGTATTTGTCAGATTTCCTCAGATGGAGATGTGTCAACAGTTGTGGATTCCAGGAATTGTTTCTGATGTGCCCACATTTTAAGGACTATAATATGCGCCAGTTTATAAGACATACCAAGATTTTAGAGGAAGAATTATTGCAAAAATATAATCACAGATATATTACTTACCTTTCTGTTTGTCACTTGCAGCTGGCAGGTGGCAGCCCATTACCATCAACACCAGAACTGAATGAAGAAGCCTCAGGACGCAGCGCAAGTCCAGACGTCAGAACCTCGTTCCAAGGTCAGTGTCCTTTGTGTGTGTGTGTGATTTTCAGCCTAAATAAAAGAGGAGCATTTGTTTTTCAAGTGAAATGTTTGAGTATAGTACAGTACAGGGAACAATAATTGAGAGAGACTGATGTTTACAATAAATAAACAAAATTTTAGTGAGATATGCAGAATCGCAAAGAATGCATTTGGGAAACAATGCGTACTTTAATTGGAGCACGCTTTTCCGCTCGATATATATTTCCTCAGTATCTGCTTGTAAATGCTGTTCCAATATTTCAAAATATGCTAAGACTCTACGTCATTTCACAATAATCATCCTTCATCTACTGTAAGCTCCTCCATCCTTTCAACAAAAGTTTCACAAACAAAATCTTCTGCACGCGAAAGCATTTATTAATGAGGATTTAAAATGCTGTATTCTTTGCCAGTTCTAGATCAGCTGGAAAACTGTTAATGATGTGAACTTATTTTTGTGCCTTAATTTCATATTTTGTATTTACAACTTCTGATGTTTTATGTTTGCTTTAATTTCTTTTACTTTCAGCTCTTTGTGTTTGGCTTGAAAACAGCAAACTTTAATTTTTTTCTCACATTTCTGCGCACTTGGCTCTGCACTGCAATGCATGTTTTATGGGTCATGGCAGGGATACCATGCTGCCGTTCTCTTTCACACATATCAGTTCATATTCTTGTTCCCAACCTTAAATCACATATTTGACAAAGTAAACAGTTTGTAAAAGTCATTGTGCTTTTACCTTGCTTTAGAGATTGTAGATTCGTAATTGTAATTTTTGCTGAGGGTAGTAAAACTCAGAAATGTATACTTTAACCTAAAATTACCATTAGGCATTAACCATAAACAAAATTTTCACATTAAAACAGCTGAGCAACCGTAAATGTGCTATACTCTTGTCATGAAGTGTACGCGTATTATAACATAACCTTGAAAAGAATGCAAAGAAACAAAATGATCAGGTTTAAACATTTCTGTGACACACAGCAGTTGCGTGCGTGTGCGCATGTGTGTGTGTGTGTGGGGGGGGGCATGCATGTATTCTGCATGGCTTGACTTTGTCTCATGTTTGCAGACTTTACTGGCACTGATGAGCTTAGCACTACCATTGCTGCCAGTAACACAGATCAAGACACTGCTTGGCCTTCCGCACACTCTGTCGTTAATCCGCTGCCTGCCGAGACTCAACTGAAATCTGCATCTCTTCCCCCTGGATTAGCGTTAACTCCCGAGGTGCCAAATGCTGAAAGGCCCATTACATCTATAGTTTCAAAAGTGAAACGTTCCAACTCCAACATAGCCCACCGGCCAGGTACCAATGTGCAGCAGTTTCAGCGTTCCGTCTCGGAACATGAAAATGGTTACTCGGCAAGAGTGAGCAGTATGGCAGAGTGTCAGTATCATACTAAGTTTATGGCAGAAACTGATGTCATGTCAAAGACTCTGGTGAAGAGTGGAGTAAATTCTGAGATGCAGAAAAGAATTTGCGGAGTGGTTGGAGAGGAGGAGGCGGAGGAGGAGGAGACAAGGGAAGACGATATTAATGATGATATGTTGAACAAGGAGAGGGAGAGAGATGGTAAGAAGAAGGATGATTCTTCATTCTTCAGCAGATTTATCAGAAGGAGTGGCAAAAAGAAGAAAGATAGCCCACAGGATGTTGATTCCATATCCAACAGCAGCGTGTATTCTAGCAAACAAGTTTCTGAGGTACCCCCTGTTGTACCCAAGCGCATTGATATGAAAGGACGATATGCAAATGAAACTGTAAATGATTATGCCGTAAATATACCACCATCACAAATGAAGCTACCCACTGGGAAAGTGGGAGGAACTCGAAGTACACCGGCTTCAAGACAGAGAGTGATGCCCATCAACATTCCAGCTAGTCCAGAAGGCCAGCGTAAGGTAGAAACTAACAGGGAGTTGGAGGAAATGACTGTTGGCCTGCCTCTGTCTTCTAGTTTATCTCCTGTAGGAACAGAACTAGAAACAACTAGCAAAAATGCTCAGGAATCTATATCGGTAAACCGCGTGCAAGTGTCGTACTCTTCTTCTCCACCAAAACCCACTTGGCCAGAGCCATCTAAGGCTTTCTACAGTAGCAAGCCACCGAACTCACCTTTCAATGCCGTTAACAAAATCAATTCTTGCTCAGAAATCCCCCCTCCATGGAGAGATTCTTTAGAGCCAAGATTGGCCGATAAAACATGGGTCCATGACCAAGAACACAGCGTAACAGAATTGCGACACTTCAGGTCCAAATTAAAGATTGCTGGATTGTCGTCTTATCAACAGCGATTGATTGCCAATGAGTTTGGTTATGATGAGCGTGAATATACTTCGATGATAGACACTGTGAGCAGCGAGGATTCAGAAGAGAGTAAAAAGCATGCAGTGAAGAAGTCGAAGAGCTTCAGAATGGAGCCAGATGTGTCTGTGTTGTCACATAATTTACCTGCTTCAAGTACTGAGACTGAAACTGACAGTTTGAACAAATCTCCAGTAGACTGTTATGTCAAGGGAGAGATACTATGGAAATATGAGGTTGAACAAACAAAGGCTATCAATAGTCATAAGAGAATAGACAATAGAATAAACAATGATGCTTCATTGCAGTCATTGAATGCAAGTTCTACAGCTGAAGACCTCAGTGTGTTTAATGGAAGCAAAGAAGAAGCTGATAAAACTGACCTTTCATCAGAATATACTGGAAGACATTTTACTAAATATACATTGATTACCACAAGGGGCATAGCAAATGAGACATCAGGTATTACAGAAAGCAGTCCTGTGGCCGGAATACGTCGCTCCAGGCAACTGGATCACATAATGAAGAAATCGGCATCTTTGGACAGCATTGGTAGTTTAAATGAGTCAAAGAAGTCACATTCACCAGAACCCCAATTGTATAATAAAAAGTCAACTTCTAGTGAGAGTATTTGTAGTCTTACACAACACGTTTTAATCCCCGTTAGTTCTGATGGTCTTGGCATTATTGAGGACTCAAAGACAGCTGAAGAGAGAAGGCCACTGCCCAATACTGAAAGCAGCACTGTACCAGCAAGCCAGCTGATAGACAGTTATAGAGTAAGTCCATCGGATGTGCCAAAGCCAATTATGTTCTCAGTGTCTTCCAAACCCTCACTGCCAGAATCATCCAAGGCTGTAGTAGACACCTCTTCAAAATCCTCAGAACCTTCTTCCCGATTATCTGCAGGAATTCCTAACCATTCTGTTGAAAAGGCTTTTAATAAAATGCCCATTGAAAGAGAACAGTCGCAAATCTTGGCACCACATCGTGCTCAGGTTTCAAGGTCTCGAGCTGTAGCGCCTTCTTCATCAACTGAACAAGTTCCAGAGTTTCTTAAGGTTCAGCTGAACCGAGTTGATAGCAAACCTGTAAGTAATGTGGTCCTGTCTACGTCTGTGGTTTTTGATAATGTGGAACGAAGTTACAGTCCGCTAAAGTTCGCTGATGAGAGACAAACAAGACTGAAGAGGAAAGAGAGTCTGGTAAAGTTGACCGAGAATACAAACACTGAAGGGGCAGAGGCTGCACTGAATGAAGTCCTGATCACAGATACACCAGCCATTCAAACACAGATTTCTTGTTATAGTGATAAAAAATCAAGTAGGGAAGATCTAATTACAGGAGGGAGCGCAGTGTATGATAGTAACATGGCCACACAATCGCCTGCACAGAAAGTAGTGGAATCTTGTTCTTCAGGGGCAGCGGTACAAGAAACTTGCCAGAAAACTGTGATTGCAGACAGTGATTCTTCAAGTAGAGTTCTGGATAATGATTCAACCTCACCAAAACAGAGGAGCAGGTCATTGTCTTCCACCAATTCAATGAATATGACCGGCCAGAAGTATTCAGTTGTTTCCGTATCCTCCAGTGTATCATCTTCGTCACCAGTGGCAACTTCAAAACCAGTTCTAAAGAAACAAGCAACAAGTCTTGATTCAGCAGAAAAGCACAGAGGCTTCATGAAAAAGCAAAAGAGTGAAGATTTTGAAGATGTCTTTGTTTTTGAAAAATCAGTGGCACCAAATGTGAAAGAGGTGTCCAGCAGTACCTCCCACTTGGAAACAGTCTCTTCACAAAAGAAACCTGTGACTAAGGAATATGGATCTCGAAAGGAAGAGGAAAGCGTAGCAACAGAAAGGATACTGGAAAGTGGCTCTGTTGAAGTAGTGCTTCGTAACAAGAAAATAATATCTATACAAGACTTTGGGCTTAAAAAAGAAGAAGACACAAATCTGGTAGAAAGATGTGTGTCAGGTGTGGATGCAGTAAACAACCAGGAAGGTAAAAAGTTTGGATTGTGGAGAGATGAGGAGCGACAGGCAGAGAAGCAAACGTCTGGAGGAGATATTGTTGGTTCACACGAAAACAATTTGGGTACATCTGAAGTGGTTCTGCGCAAGAAATCTTTGCCTCGAAGTGATACTGGAAGGGGAGCAGGTGGCAAGGATGAAGAACCAGAGCTATTGAAGGTTTTTGCACGTCGTTCTTTGAAACTGAAGGATAGTGAAATTGAAGCTTTGGGACAGCAAGTTGCTACTAAGACCCGTACTGAATATGCAACAGAGCAACAAGGAACAAAGTCGAGGGATAGTGACAAAGAGAATGAAGGTGGTGATTCACCACGCGAAGAGAGGAAGAAGCAAGTGATTAAGGAACCACTTGCTGAATCGAAAATTCATATTGAATCCAGTGAGACAGCGCCTTTGTTGAAAGCTTCTTCCGCCGGTATAAGTCTTTCTAACACCTCTTGGAATGGAAATATTGTGACTGGAACAAACAAATACCAACGGTCTCTCAGCAGTGGAGTCACAATGAGTAATGAACACACGACGCAAAACAATGATTCTGGTCTCACATATCGCAAGGAGAATCCTGGGACCAGCCCTGACAAGCGACAGAGGAACAGAACAGTTCCAGAAATCCCAAAGACAGAACTGAACTTGGAAAAGATGCCGCGAGCATGGGCAAAGGACATAGATATAACTAATTCTGAGACAAAGAGATCAAACATGGACAAAATAAATTCACAAGTTGAAAGCAAGACTGTTTCTGGCAACAGTGATGAGAGTGGTATGCCAAGATTTAAAAGGATTCAGCAGAGGAAGGAGGAGTGGGAACTACGAGCCCAGCAGGCACTGAAGAAAACACTACCATAAATAATGTAGGTGAGTGTACATAGTTACCAGTGCTTGTATAAGACATTTTAGTAATGAGCAATTTTTCATATTTATCTGACTAATGCCAAGGAAATTTAAGTTAATCATAACATTATATTTGTATAATATATGTACATATATCATGCACTTACATTTAACATACATAGCTTAACAATAATACCACTAGTTTTGAGACCTGTCAAATGTGAATAATTGTATCTCTTTAACTAATTAAATTTACTACTATGAAATGCCAGTTTCTGTTGTCTGCCACATAATTAAAATATTTACTTGCGCTATTAAAATTAGTGAAACCTTTAAGTTTTATAATAAATGTAGATATGTCTGTGAACCCAGGCTTGCTTTTAACAAAAACAAAACAAAAATAAAAAGGGCATACAGAATGGTTTACCAAATTAAAGTCCCTTGAACAAAATGTACGCTAGTATTGAAGTCGGCAGTTCAGAAATACATTCCTGATGGATATAAAGCTGTGCTACACATTCATTCACTTACTCTAAAACATTAAAGTTACTAATTTTGCATAATTAATAAAATTATAAAAGTTAATGCATAAATGCAGTATCCAGTATAAATTAGCCAAAAAGATGACAGCACCTGTGTGAGTGCACCTTTTGTTACATATCTCATAGATTTGTTAGTTTTCTTGTGTATGTGATGCTTCCTTACCATCATTACAATAGCCTGATACTGGATCCTATCCTGTACCAGATGAATACAGTCCACATCTTCACAACCTGTTTCTTAACGTACATTTTGATAGTATCCTCCTGCCTATTTTGGGTCTCCCAAATAGTCTTTGCCCTTCAGAGCTTATGACCAAAATTTTTTGTGCATTTCTCATCTCTCCTATACATACAATCCATATTCTCCTATCAATACTCCATGCTCCACCCATCTCATCCTCATTGATATGAGCCCCATAACGACATGTTTGGTGAACAGTACAGATTATGGAACTCCTGTGGAACAAGGCAAATTGAAAATTACTGCATGTAAACATATTTTAGTGGGGTCCGCAGTGGCCGCGCGGTCGCTGGGACCATGGGTTTGAATCCCACCCAAGCCATGGATGTGTGTCCACATTTTTCTGTGTTGTGCTGTCCTGTGTACAGGTAGAGGCCTTGCGACGGGCCGATCCCTCGTCCAAGGAGTCCTACCGAATGTCTATAGATCAAGCCTATGAAAAGTTGGGACCCGCAGTGCTCAGGCACTTGAAGAACGGGTTGTCTAAGTATCCCAGTAAACATATTTTAACAAGTTCTAATCTCCTTAAGATGACTGTAAAGTCAAACTTGTAGGGATTTGTACATAACTTCTTAAGTTATAAGTTGTGTTTTGTTATTTAAGATATATATACACTCACATACCATCTATTTCATATATCACTTAAAACAAATATGTTGGAATAGTTCAATTAATTTTTAAAAACCAAAACAGGCTATTACAGATATATCTGATTAATTATTTACTCAGTTTCTATATGCTGTGACAAAATTTTATTGCTTTTCTTATTTCATGTAGGTTCTCAGTCTTCAAGAAGGAAACGAAATCTGTTACTTCAGTGTTGGAGGTAGTAGCATCATACCGTGAGGACCAATGACTCATGGAAATTATCATCACATAAGTTTACATCATTTCTGTGTCACATTCTACCAAAACCTGAGTTGTTTTTTTATAAGTGAAGTAATTGCAAGGAGCAGATTCAGATGCAGTCTCATGACTGAAGAAGCATTTAAATCAAACATTTAACTGCCAACACGTGTGACAGTTGTTCCGCATTTCTCTTGAATCAACTTTGGATTGTGTAATTCTCCAAATATTTTCATATCTGAAGAGTAAACCAGTACTTAGCAACTGATAGTGTTGGGAGGGAACATTGACCACAGCCAGGTCTTTCTGGACAGTTTTTTATGAATTAAATGGCATAATGTGATTTGTTTATCACAGAAGATTTGTAACAGGAAATACAAGAAAAGTGTTACTTGATTATGTAACATTTGCTGCTGGTGGTTAAATTGCTTTTCTGAATGGTAATTTTAATCTTTCATAAATGCAGCATTACAACTAAAATGAAGGAATTTGTTTAAGAATGTTTTGTGTTTAAATGTATACATTTTGTCTACATTAGTTGACTGTTATATTTTCCTTATCATTGTGATTTTTTTTTACATTTTTTGAATATGTGTGTTACAGTATGCTATTTGTGTTACAAATTGATTGTAATATTTTGACTAATGACAAGAATGTTATTTATGTTGTTGCAAACAAGTACATAGTAAATATATTTTTATCATAATAGCCGATTGTCGCATACTAAATCCTGTGATTACAAATAAGGCGTAAAGTTTTAAAATTGTATTTGGAGCTAGCTGTGAATGTGTGTTTAAGAGCAATGAAGAGCAAGAGTGAAGTATATGCATAACCCTTTGATGATTATAATTGTTACCATTGCCATGATGATGGCATGGAGTGTGAAAGTGCTCTTGTTTTTTCCGATTTAACTTTGTTACGAACTGTATGCTTCTGACATCTACTGGGATTGATTGCACTAAATACTCAGTTTGTAATTATTTCTCTTCATCTTCTGACCAAAAGATTTTGTTTGAGGAGAAAGATATGACTGTGTCAATGCTTTAAGACCAATTAAACATAATCCTCAAAGGGTTAAAGAATATAGAGTTCACTGTTTTTAAATTAAATTCTATCATATTTATAAAAATATTCATTACACATGAGAAAGTTTATTGCATAATCTGTGTGTTTGTAACATGTACTTTAAGTATTTTCAATTTGGTTTATATTTAACAATACATAAGAACAAATTCATGTGTGTCCTTATATATAAAAAAGTATCCTGATGGATGAGGCTTAACTAACATTAAATTTTAAAATTTTTATTGTATGCCTTCTGTATTAAACACCATTGAAGTTATTTAGAGAGTAAATTATTCAGTCTGATGGATAGACAGGTAGACAGATGGATATGATACTTCCATAACTCATTCTTTTACTACAGTTATTGATGACTGAAACTCAAAGCCAAAGGGCATCGGTTTCTTCCTCAATCTGTAGTTGACTTAACAGGACTTTATTATGTTAACTTCTTGACATGAAAAAATAAAAATTGTTCCTCATTATCTTGCAAGAAATTTTAGTGCTAACTATGGAAACTGTAGGGAACTTGCCCTTCATCTATATCATAGGAGGACTAAGAATCTTGAGTTAGGTAATGTATCTTGTAAATATATCCAGTTTTGATGAAATGCTGGTATTACAAACACTGAGGAATTCGTAGTGGTTCTCTCTCACATTTAACCAGAAAAATACTCAAGTAGTACCTACAAGTAGGTGATGCACATTTACTTCCATATCTGTCTCTTTTAACCATTTATGATTGTCTTCCCATTTAATGTAACATCTCCATTTGAAACAGTATCATTAAATAGCATATGATGACATTAAATGTGTTTAGTGGGACTACTGTATTGCGTTGTTTGTTTTCATTTCAGAACGCTTGAGAATACAAATGTGAGATGAAAGTCATCCATGGATGGTTTTGGTTACTTTTGGGGTGGAAAATGCTTATTGAAAATTGTGAATGCTACATTATCTAATTCTTGGCCTAAACATTAGAAAATACTTCTTCATACATTCTTCCCCTCTGCACTTGAAAAAATTATATTTCCTTTTTGTAGCCTGATTACCTCCATCAAGGACTTGACTAACTGCATGATGACTAGATAGATGGTATCACATGTTGGCTCTAGTTTCAGTTATTTATCTTAAAAAGAAGTTATGTAAAATAGTGCAATAAAATACTGTTTAAATAAAGTTTTAGGCAAAAGTTAGACAGACTTGAGGTATGTTTAATTTTACTTCCCCCAAATAAATAATGATCAGATAGATTAAATCTTGCAAATATCATATGCCATGTTGCTTTATATATATATTGCAAATTGTTGTTAGAATCTGAAGAAATTAATGTGCCTACTACCTCAATAAACAATTTTCTGTTATTTTGTTCACCAAAGTCAAAATCTCAGATTACATTGAATGGTTGGATGAATAATGAATTAGAAGTGATACAGAAGGAAGAAGACCTATGCTAAGTTGAAGTACTATTCTGGCATTTGCTTGAAGGGACTGAGGAATGCCACAAAAAACCTCAGCCTTAATAGCCACTCTGTGTGCTGTTTTTTATGATAATGTTAAGATATGTCAGGAGGAGTAGCAGTCGCATCCAAAACTTCTAACATTGTAAGCAGAACTTAGGTCTGTGAAAAATAAAATAATGAATTTATTTTTGTCTGCAGGAAATTTCTAACTTAATTTTGAGAAATAATTATACCCACATAATTGAGAAGCTTTTGTTTGTAATGAATGCCATAATCACCTTCCCTTGTAAACAGCACTGTTGGTATCACGTTATTTTGATTGTTCTGCGTAATGAGGTTTGTGTTCTATTTTCTCTTTGAAATGTGATTTATCTCTCCTTTTTTCTGTTTTCTTGATTGGTGTGAAATAAATGAAAAACTGAGTAGATAATTTTGAATCTGAATTTTGCAAACAGGTTTCTAACTGTGGAATATGCTCTTTTATAATTACCAAATTTTAAAGTGAAAACAGTGTGATGTAAGTTGGACGAGATATCTGAACACTCTCGTTTCGGAATTGGTCTTGAGAAAGACTTTTGCTGATTGTGGTGAATACTGTATGACCATGTACTCACACCTTGTTATAATGTTTTAACATAAAATTTATGTTGGATGCAATTTTCGTCAGGCTTGAACATACAGTCTCTAATATAAACACAGTACGTAAGCAAGTGTCCCTATGATTCTATTTTGTATCATAAATAAATATCTATAATTTAATAAACAAATTACTGATAACGGTATTTGACAGATTATTCTCATCAAACTGATACACATTTCATTCATAGCTCCATTGGTAAAGAACATTTTTGTCTTCCCTTTTGTGAAATTATCCGCTGGCCTTGATGAGAGTGTGTATGAGGAGCATAAAGTGTTTTATGTAAAATCTGGTATTAAGGTACTTTTATACTTTTTGGAACTGGCCTGTAGAAGAATTTGTGCCTCTGTTTAATGATATATTTTAGGAGTGACCATGTATATATAAACTTTGTATATAAGATGAGTGTTTACACATATTGTGTAAAATTACTCTTTAATAATGTTAAGTGAATGTTAAAAAACTATCCTATTATTAATTACTTTACTAGTAATAAATGCCAACATTTGGCATATATTACGCTGTGTAAATTTGTGATCGAGATATTCGTACACTTAATTATTTTAATATTTACATGTATTATTAATAATAAGTATGCAATGATTCTTTAAAGTTGTCTGGCAGAAGTGGAATTATTATGGTACAATTATGTTTACATTTCCCATTTTCTGAGGTATTTTGTGAATTGTATCTACTCCTATCCTCGGGTGATTTGCTGTCTTCATGTAACAGTTTCTTTATTATAAATTTTTATTATAATAACAATGGCATCCTTGGAATATTAATCTAACAGATTAATTTTAAAAAAATGAGGGGGGAGGAGGTAGAGGAATAGGGGTTCAATGCAATGGAGCACTGTACTTATGTGCATTTTCACAGAACAGAAATAAAATATTTTACTAATAATGTGCCAATAACAGACACAGTATTTTGATGAGAAAACCATTTGGCAAATGAACACTAGAGAAACTGAGAATACATTTCCCTTAAAGGTTTAATTTTTGCAAAAGTTTTATTCATTCTCCCTTTTTTGTCGTACATGACTATTGGGATTTTTCGTTACAGAAATAATTGTTTCATAAAAGCATTTAATATTAAACGTATGTGTATGTGCGCGCACGTGTGTGTATATATTGACAATGCTGTTATAAAATGGCAGAAAGAATAATCTAAAGACCTTTGTAGTCGTTTAGACACTCTAATTTGTCGATGATCACATATTAGTTGACTGCAGAGAAGTGAATCTCCAAACAGCCATTTATAAATTAGATATTAGTTGACTTCAGAGAAGCGAATCTCCAAACAGCCATTTATAAATTACATGATTTAATTAATGTAAAATTACGAAAGTCCATTTTATGAGCAGAAATAATTCTATGTGGAGAAAAATAATCTTTAAGATCAGAAGCAGTTCTAGGAGAGAAATATTAATTATTTAAGCTGCAGTATATGTTACAATAGAGACGGTGCTGTTAGTGTAAAACTACAGAATTCAACAGGCCTCCTGATCTGTTACTTCACTCATAAAATGTGTACTCGATTCTGGTCACCACTACTCCAAAAATAATGATAATGAAACCAACTAATCACCAAAAGTTAGGTTATGTATACATTGTTTCTTAAATGTTGATTATATTATATATATACCTCAGTCAATGGCTAATGTCCAACATGAATTTATCGTAATTGAGTGTAGTTTGAATGGAGGAAGGATTGGGGATGTTTCTTTCACAGTTTCTTTGTTTTCACTTAAGTGCCTGAATAATTTAAATTGTATAAAGTGACACTCCTTTTTCTGTAACTTAGTATTAATTATCCTATGGGCCAAGTCATGTGTGATAGCATTGTCTTGATCCAAAACAGAACACCCTAGACATAATATTCTGCATGTTTTAATATGTACGTAAAACTACTGTGGTGCATGGTAAAATTGTGCTCATTAACAAACCGTGGAATTTCAAAATAATTCAAGCAAATTTACAATTCATATCTGAACTTTGACATTATGTATGGGTTTTATTCACAGAAGGCTGTGTGTGTTTGTGTCTTAAAAGAGAAATGTATATAGTTAATCTGTTTCTTTTAAATAATTTGAATATGTATTTTTATGGCATCATAGTTACAAGTTGCAGCTTAGTGTAATCTGGCTTTGAATAGCAAGGAGCATTTTTGTAATATTCCCAATAAACTTAGAGAGTACTAGATGTACTAAAATATCTATTGTAAGTCATATTATTTGTTAAAAAATTTTAAGGGTTAATAAATGAATGACAACATATAAATTTATTCTGAGGCATTACTGCCCAGATAGTAAATTACAATTCTGAACCCTTCCCAATCTTGGCATTTCATTCTGAACAGAGTAATTGATTCTTTAATAATCTGGGGAAAGTTTGAGTTTGAAACAAACAGCAAGAAAAAACAAGACTTGAAACCGTAGAAATGTGGTTTTGAGAAGGCTGACAAGAAAAAGTTGGACGGAAAAGAAGAGTAATGATCAAATACCAAAAGAAATAAAGGAGAAAAGGAAATTACTGAAGGTAATAGGAAAGAGGAAAACGAAGCTCCTTGGGCACATGTCGAGACATGACAACTTCGTCCAAAACATTTTTGAAGGTAAGGTGTTGGGGAAAAAATCGAGGGGACGACCAAGAATGTCCTACCTTAAGCACACGATCAGTGAGATGGAATGTGTTTCATATGCTGGCATAAAGAGGACCGAAGGATGTGGCTGCAGCAACAAGTCCCGGCCTTTAGGAAATGATGATGAACACCAACACAGCCCTGTTTCATTCCCGATTTTAATGCCCTTTCCTTGTTAAATTATATCACGATAATGTTATCTAAATATGTCACCATGTAATCCGTGACGAGCATACGCCTTCCCGCGGTCATATGTTTGGTGATCCTTTCTTAACCAAACACCTGAAGATGTCATGACGGTACACAGTTTATAGTGCCATCTATCGAGTTCAATTTATACTGCTAGATATTTATCAACAACTATAATTATAAATTCATTTCATTACTAGAACATTCTGTAAAGTGTAGGTTATTCTTGTTATATTTGCATCGCTAACAGTATACATTATCAGTTAATAAACGGAGATTAATTATAACAAAGGGAAATTGCTTCCTGAGCGGGATATTTTATTGTCACTACGGGAAATTTGTTGCCAATGGTTGCCAATGTATTGGTTAGTGTCGAAGTTGTTACCAGAAGTGATAAGGTCGTTTGAATTTGATTGCTGTGTTTTCGACAGTAAAAATGTAAGTAAATATTGTTTCAAAGTCTGAATTGCTGTACTAATTACTGTTTAGGCGTTTCTGCTTGTGTATAGTGCCAGTGCCTGCTTGTGCACATCATACCCGTGAGTCGTGGCCCAGGATTCTAAAATGTTTGGTTATATTGTGAAATGTTCCTGTCCATCTGCGGAGAAAAGGGATTTTATACATTATACATTCGCAATAACTCATTAGGATCTTTATTTGCCCTCTTAAAGACTAAATAAATAGAAAGTACATAACCAGAGCTGTTATGGATTAACACGATCATGCCAAAGGGGCGGGGCTTTATGGATGCAGTTTTCACTCTCCTGTTTTTTTATAGAATATGGCTTTAATATATGTTTTTAGTATGATATAAATTACTGAGTTATCAGATTTACTGAAGATTTCATCATAATTTTAAAATGTAATATTATTCTGATTTCTACACAAAAGAGATGCTGCTTATGCACTATGGATTGTGATTTGGAAATTATCTAGAAAGGTACCCCATCAAATACTGTCACTTGTATGGCAAGAAATGGCTGATTACAGCTGTCCTGCACAGTGGAAAGCTTTAGTCACCACTGTTGGTATTTTTACTTTCAGAATATTAGAAGTGAAACAAAGCGACAGGTCATTAATGTAGAGGTGAACGCTGACAAACTTCCTTCATACTACACAGTGATAGAGGGGAACGTTGACAAACTTCCTTCATACTACACAGTGCTATAACCCAGAAGACAACCATCTTCAGACTCACTGCTGTGAAAACCTGAAGTCCTTGTCATAAGCACGGCATGTTACTGAGAAACAAACATCAATGGGATGCCATACTACCTGCATAGTATCATAAATGTTTAATATTTATAAATTGGCCACAATCTTCAGTATTCTTACATCCAAGCATATTTCTGGGGGTATTATTTTTAAACAATTTATGCTTAATAACAAAAAAATAAGTAAGAGGGAAATTTTGGAATTTACTTAAGCTTCACGTGTTGCACTTGCCATCCAGGGTAGTACAGTCTATACATATAGCTCAGGTGCAGAAAACAATAAATGCATGCAGATTTTTGGTTGGAAAACCTGACAGATTGGGGAAATGTGAGGGAGGAAGGTGAATAGAACTGGCATGCTTAGTATTAGTGGTGTTGACTCTTAGGTTCTAAAACCAGTGAGTTATTTTTTATCTGTTACATTTTGTAATAAACGTGTGGACATTTTAAATTTGCATGCAAGGATTGTTTGAAATCTTTATATTGAATTTCATAATTCTGCATTAATGTTTATGTAATGTGAAAAAGAAAATTGAATGCAACAGAGTTTATTATTACTGATAAACCAACAAGTTTTGACCATCTTCAAGGGTTTATTATCCTACAGGCATTTCTCGTTACGTACTCGTTTGAAGAGTACAATATCATTTTAATGTTCTCAACTAATACAGGCCAATTTCAATTAATATTCTTATGTTTAATGCAAATTACTTGCTGACTAATTGAATGAAGTGGGGAAGAGGGGAAATAGAGTATTGTAGAGGAGGAATGCGAGGAAGAAGGGATTTCTTTTTGATTTATGCAATTTCATCCTCTGCAATTTAAAATTCTTGTAAATTTATATGCAGCAATTACAATTGTTTACGTTATCAGTAATAATAAAATGTATTTAATAGATTTAATTTTTGCTGGTGTCCTACATAGTCACCCTATTGTTTCTATAGATTTGTTAGCTTGAGACACTAGCTGACTAAGGAACAGAAGGGCCATACAAACAGCGTCGATGTAATGGCGAAGCGCCTTTTTACATTTCACCTGGCATGTATCGACCTGCCTGTCTTGTCACGTCTCTTTGGTGGGAGACAACAGTGTTGGAGAGGTTATCTGGCTTGCTTTAGCAGTCTTTTGATTTCGTGGAGTCTGGTTACAGGCTAAGTCCGCGGCCCTATCAGCTGTATTAGTTATTAAAAATCCCACGAAGATGTAGGAATACTGGAACTTAAACAGGTTAATTTAACGGTAACGTCAAGACCTTTGTTTTCGAATCCGACGGGGTTACCGTTGCAACCTATTCGGGTCTTCTGTGGGTTTTATCGCTCCGTTCAAGGACTGCCTCGATACTGGCGTGAAAAGTCCACTGCCAGATTCTTCAGAATTCTTGTGCAGCGACGTTAAACAGGTTAAGAATTGATCGTTCTGTCAAACGAGTTTGTGAAATTGGAACCTTGTGCGGTCTTTGATAGAGCTGATTGCGTTTATAGTGGCATACAACAGTGGTTGATATCACTAAAATTTATATTTATGTGAAGATGACTATCTTCTGAGATGATGCTTATTGTAGTCTTGTAGAAATTGACCGACGTTTCAGAGGTGCACACTGTCCATATTATCTCAGGTCGATGATGATGGAGGCAGCAAGCACCTCTGAAACGTCGGTCAATTTCTACCAGATAGTACGGCACAACATCCAGTCAGACAATCATCTTCGTATTTGTCACCACGAGAACAGAAAATCTCACATAATTGTAATATATTTATGGTATTTCCAAGTTAGAAAATCGTCTTTCTCTCGAACTTTACATACCTGTATCAAATGTCTTGGAAACGAAGTCCAATGAAATAAAAGGGCAATGTAATAGGCGTTTGCCCATCTAATGTTGATTGGTTAGTCTACATTGCGAACTTTTAGCCACTTCTGCAACAAAATTTCGACACGAACTCTGTAAGTGGAAGGTAAAGACAAAGTTGTCCTTCGTTGATTCTCAACAAAGTACCATGCCATGAAGACGTATGGGGGAGGTGGAGGTATATCTTAACTAATTCTTAAGTTCGGAACTAGATGGAGGCGTGTGGTTAGTTTCACGCCCTGGAAAGAACTTCAGTGGCCACTGGCTAGGTTAGGTTGGGCGCGCCGAAAGACGGTCTGAACTTTGTGATGAATATATAAACCCTGCCTTGCCGGAAATGGAACCTCGGTCGACCAGCCTGTAGCCAGGTTGCTGTATGGATTGAGCAACCCCGGATTCTTTTACGTAGAAGAAAGAACTACAAATTGATTTCTGGTTGTAATAAATAAACGCCAGTCATAATGTGAAGACAATAGGTCGTTTTAAAGGTATGGCAGAATGAAAATATTTTGACAGGAGGCTGGATAAAATCGCGGAATGCTCTTTGACTTATATTATTAGGATAATTAAATCAAGGATTAGGTGGGCGCAAAATATAGCTCGCGTGGGGGCGATGATAAATGCGAACTATATTTTGGTTGGATCTGTGTAGCGCCGTTTGCATCGTGGCAGATCAGAAATAAACACAAACATAAACGTGGAAGGCGAGATCGATATGGAGAGTAAAGTCGTTCTGTGACGTGTGCGTTTGGTATTATGTACAAGAAGAGGAATTTTTCTGGATTTAATTAGTTTTCGCGGTTGTGTACCCAGTTTTGAGTTGGACTGAGGGCTGGTGGGAATAAAAAAAGAAGTCAACCAGTGAAATCCCAAGTGGTTGTTTGCATGTTTGTTCTATTGGTGGTCATAAATCATCTCTTTCGTTGCCGTATGTGTCCAGTAGCAGCCACACACAACGCACACTTGTATTCACAATGATTAATGTTGGCTAGTTTGAAGTTGCCCATGGAGTACAGGGCTTTCATGTTGTGCCTTGGGAAACAATGGTTTTCAACTCAACCACACTGATCGAATTTTGGGTTCCTGTATTATCTGTCATTTACATAATCATCAAACAGTTGAGAGAGTGGATAACCGCACGTACGCTCTCTTATACACCCAGGGTTTAGTGAGCGGTGATTTTATGTTATAATGCACAATTACAGTCTCCCGTGACGCTGAAATCAAATGTACTGGCAGTACCATCTCCATTCTCCAATGCGAATTCACGGAAAAAACATTGGAGGTGTTTTAACAAAATTTTGATAACAATATTAAAACCACCCACAGTTAGAACGTAGCATTTTAAGGCTTTGACACTCATTTGTTGTCCGTATCAACATTGTAAGGCATTATACGATACATCCCATATTAATGCCTTAAAAGTACACTATTTAAAAACTGGTATGCAGAGTGGCCAAAACGTTACGCAACCCATTCCTGGTACATGCTCTATTTGTAAAAATAAATTATATTGAGATCAGAAAACAGATGTTACAGTATGAGCCCGAAATGTTTACCGCGTCTTATGTAACCCAGTTAAGAATTCCTGTGTCCCGGAAACGGTTCACCGGACTAGGTATTGTCGATTTTTGTTTGGTACAGGAGAATAAGAGGTACGGGAAATGTATCCCTAAACACATTCTTGCAAGTTGAGTGAGAACGAGATAATAGTTGCACTTAAAAATATTATTACACTTCGGCTGTTTGAAGACGCCTGACGGACTGGCGCGAGCAGATTGCAACAAAACGTGACCTGCGTGGGCTCTTGTATGACTTTTCGAATACTATTATATTTCTAATTTCTGTAATGTTGAATTCAACGTCAGATTTTCAGTCTATATGTTTTAGCATGTGCTATATTTATATTTTAATTTTTTTAGCACACGCACGGGAAGAAATACTTGCGGCATCAACCTACATTACGTAGCAAGCTTCTCTTTTCGAGAAACCCAAATGTCGTGTGTTGTAAAGAACATGTACAGTCAGGTTCGAAAATATCCAGTTATGTTAATAAATGAGTGATCGTGTTGTGTGTAACGAAAGACTACGATATATGTTGCACGGGACGAGTCCCAATTAGGGTCCAATTTAAATAAATTATAATTCCGAAATGAACAAAGTTGCGGATGTGATACGAAGCACATTTTATTAGTCTGTCCTGAAGAAATCTCGTACAACGTCTGAAGTCCTTCCAAATAGGGCGGTACTGAACATAATGTAGGCCTAATCATAACTTTATCTTGATACGAAAGACTAGAATCAGTTCAACAAACTGTTGTAGTACATCAGTGCTAGTGGTGATATTCATGCTGGATACTGGAACAACTTCACGTTT